CTCAGTTGGTTAAGAGCATGAGCCCTGAGCAACAGGGTCACCGGTTCGATTCCCACATGGGTCAGTGAGCTCACCCGAGCTGAGCTGCTGCTGAGCTGCCAACAGGTGGCAGGATGGCTCAGCTAGTGAGAGCACGTGCTTCTAACAACAAGGTTTCTGGTTTGACGCCTACATGGCGTGGTGGGCTACGCCCACCCACAACTAAGACTGAACACGACACCTTAAGCTGAGCTGCCCTGAGCTGCCGACAGGTGGCCGGATGGAGACTGGACTTGGAGCTGAGCTAGCTGTGCCCTCCACAACTAAGACTAAAGGACAACAACTTGGTTGTTCCCCTTCCCCAATTCCCCACACTGTTCCCCTTCCCCAATTCCCCAATAAAATCTTAGAAAAAAACAAATCCCCCAAAACCACTCCATGGGACCTGGGTAGAAAGGAACAATCATTCAGTAAGTCACTTGGGTAGATACGCTTCCTGCGTGGGGGTTTCGCAATGCCCTCCAGAGAGCTCCCTCTGAGGCCGCCTTGGGGACTCGGGGCAGGCCTAGTGGCATCTGCTTTCTTCCCCAGTTCTATCATTCTTCCCCCATATTGACCAGAGTGCTTCTCCTGGTTTCACTTGCGTTTTGAGTGTCAGTGGAAGAGCCTGGTGACTAACAAGGAACGGAAAATAATTTGTATGTATGACTGAACTCCACATTGTGTGCCACTGTTGGATGCTGATTGTCCCGTCTGGACTGCCATCTTTCCCGTCAAGCAACCCAGGATAGTTTTGCTTCCCCTGCAAGGGGCCAGCACCGGTGCCCTTGAACTTATCTCCTGCAACTATGTTGGTACCGGAGTTGTCTCAAAGCAGGTGAGTACTTTTTTTTTATTATTTTGATAAAGCACCCATAGATGTGATGACTTAAACAATGGAGAAGAAAAAATGGGAAGAATCCAAAAATAATGCAGTCTTTTCTAGGTAGGCCACCAAAATTGCTTTTAGACATTATTGTGGTGAACAGGACAAGAAAAGAANGATTATGAAGGAATATTTTGCCTAATTTCTTATGGAGGGTTTTAAAATGTGTGATTTGGGAAATATGATGTCATTAGCAAGCTGGGAAAACCTGAGAAAATGAATGGATGGCATAAGAAGGAAAATTCTGGATGGGGAGACAGGAAGAAGGAGAATTTGAGGGATGCGTTAAGCCCTGAGAAGTGAGCAAGAGGCGCTTAGAGGAAGAGTGGTCCACAGACCTTCTGTCGTCCAGTGTCATGGTAACTCTGGGATGAGCTACTTTGACACTGTCAGTGAATGGCAGGGAGACATCATTGGGTGGGAACTGTCCCTGCCCCAACCCCTCCCCTCTCCCAGGACCTGCAGGTAGGGTAGGGAGGCTGTGTTCTTAGAGCTACCATCAGAAAGTCAGTTCATGGGGTTGCCTCAGGAAGTGGAGAGGTAGAGATAGAAAGATGCTGAGATGTTTTCAGATTTTTATTTAATCCTCTCAACAACTCTCTGAGGTAACTACTATTATTCCCATTTTATAAAAGAGGAAATTGAGTCACAGAGATGATAACTAGTCCATGAACACAAAGTGGGGCTGTGAGCGTCAGAGGTAGGCTCCTAATCCCGGCTGTCTGACTCCAGAGCTGACGATGGTAACCACTGTGCTGTGTGGCTGCAAAGCCTGAACAACATGGCGGACACACGGTCACAGCTCTTTGAGGATCAGTTGTCAACAACAGAATAAAGCCTAATCGTGGAGTGAGCAGGGCAAAGAGAAACATCAGAAGCAGCAGAAGCAATGACAGTGAGAGCAGCAGAGAGCAACAGGGCTTTTTCAGAAAGCGCAGGAGACTAGGAAAACCAACAAGAGCAGGGAGAGAGCAGAGTGACCCAGTTGAGAGAAAACCAAGGGAGGAGAAAGCTAAGTGAATAACAACACATGTTGTAAGGCAGAAGAGACTTAGATGAAGTAGCAATTCCTGGGGCCAGAATCCACAAAATGGCCCATGTGAGAGTGCACAGGCTCTCCATGGAGTACCCCACATTACTGACGTGTCAAGAACAAGGGGACCCATCTGGGGATGGATGGAGGCAGACCAGGCAAGAAATGTTGGCCAGCTCCCTGGGGGAGAGAATGGCCAAGAGCACACATGGGCATGGTCTATTCATAATGGTAACGTTGTGGAAGATTCCATGCAGTCATTTCAATTGTGCCACTGAATTATTCTGAATGAAGATCCTTTTATTTGAAGACTTCATCACTTACTCTAATAGGAATTGAGACATTGTCGCATACTCTCTAATCCATACCCAGGGAAAGGTAAAGTGAAACATTTTCACCTTTAGCTTAAAATGAGTAACGTCTATGTAAAACTTACATGTGATTCTTGACCAATTCCAAAATTAATATTTCAAGGATCCTAAACAGGTGGAGTCGATTTAGTGCAAATGCTTGTGTATGGATGACTACTGTATCCCAGGCTTCTACACAGGCCAGGGCATCCACAGCTACCAGGCTACCTACCCCCAAAACGCCTCCACCATTGGTTCTACTGACAACCTGGAGAAAGCCAAGAGGAGGAAGGGGGCAGATGGACTCCTTCTCCATTTGCAAACTCACCTTTCAGGGAGCAAGGGGCGACTCCTCACATCTCTGTTCACATTGGCTAAATTTTACATTGCTTTGATCTCTAGCTGGGAAACGTTGCTATGTATAAGAACCCCCTGCAGGGCTTATTGAAATATGAGGATTTTGCCTTCCCCCTTCTGGCTCATAGTTTAGGTGTGGGACCTAGAACTTCTATTTTTAAAAAGCAATTTTTAAGAAATTCTGAGTTAAGCTTCTTATGACAATTGGGAGTATTTAAGTCTCATTTTCAATCAAATGTTACTTTGAAAATAAATAGGACTTGGCACACAGAAAGCCAGAGAAGAAGCTGCGTATTATTCTCAAGAACATAATCAATTTACTTTCCATTTACATCTTTGGTAAAGGAATTTATAAATTATATCCCATGGGACCAATGTGAAAAAGAAAAAGAAGAGAAGCTTCTATAATATATGTGCACACTCCTTTTGCACTTAGATAGAACAGCTTTCTCCCCACTCCTGCCCTCCAATAGGAAGAGGAGTCTGTCTTCATATGACAAAAATAAAAACTATAGCTTTGCTATAGCTGTACACATAGCTATGTTTTCACTGAAAGTGCCAAAGGGTGACATGGGCTAGACCTCAAGTCCCGGCTCAGTTTCTTCCTTTACAAAATGAAACGATAATCCTGGTCCGATCTATTTTGTGGGTGGGATTGTGGTGAAGGCCAAGTGCAATCATGTAGAGGAAAAGAGTGGTGAACTGGCTTAGAAGGAATTACTGTCATAAGATGCAGTCATTTCTCCTTCTCATGTTGGCCCTTTAGCCTCCCTCCATAACATGCAGGTCTTGGGAAAGACCAAAGGCATTTTTCTGAAGAGAACTCAATGGTTTGAGAAGATCACAAATGATCACAAAACACCCTGAGGGCTGGCTTGTTAATGCAGGATTCATATCCTTTCAATGAAATGTTGCATGAAATTGTTTCATGCTCATAGGTTCTACTCATTATGAAAACTTTCCAGATAAAGCCTTTTTAATTCACGCCTTCTGTGGTCAGCTCTGTGTCATGCTCTGGCAGGATGCTAATTACCTTTGAACGTCCTAGGGCATGGGGTGGTCCAAGTCACTCAGGTTTGAGATTCTGAAGGTGCTCGGTTTCCTAAGTGGGTGGGGCCTAAGGCCTTCCTTGCCACACCTTTTCAGGTTAACACCCATCTTCTCTCAAACTCTGTTTTTCTTTTATGTGTATTTTGTTGCATGTGGAAGAGCAATATGGGAGTAGAAAAAAAGGTTTTGGGCCAAATAATGCAGTATGGTTGGAAATGCTTTCCTTGTGCAGATTTGGCATAAAAATAAACTTCTCTGGGAGAGGGCTGTTGGTGCTTGTTGTTCATTAATATGCTGAAATGATTTCACACCCCCCCTCCCCATTTTGAAGGTTTTTTGAGGCTGATTTCTATTCATTTTTTTTTTCTGGGAAAAAGATAAAATGGGGGGGGGGAGAGGCGTGAGGGGGCAGGATGTAGAACTTATGAGAAATACTACCATTTGTGTGGTTCTCTTAGTTACATAAGGCTTAGGAGCTTAGATGTCTATGCTTGTGGATTGGTGTCTTCTTAGGAAAAAAAACATTTAGGGAGGACTTTCTTTTCAAGGTTAGCCATCAGCTAACCTTGAATTGTAGATAGCGGGTGTGGATGTACAGGGCAGGCTTACTTGGACACAGAGACACAGTACTTGCCAAGGTCACAAATCACTGGGAAAAAACAACTCTCTGTCTCTCTCTCTGTCTCTCTCTCTGTCTCTCTCTCT